ATCCTCCTAATGTAGTAATGCTCAATTTTTATTTAATAAATAAGTATTGTTTATATTCTATGACTGTAAATATCATTTATCACAGAGCCAAGTCATGATTATATTTCTTTTTATCTCTCTTTAATTTTTTCTGGAAATAATTGCCCTATTTTTGCACTTGCATAGTTTTCTATATACCTATCCTTAATTTTTTCCCAAGTGCTGTCATACACCTATAGTTAGCTTTTGCCTCCAAAACTCTGTTATATCGATACTTTGCCTTTATCCTGGAGACCGCATTTCCAGAGCACTCGGTCCTCCCACTGTGTCTGGACCCTGACTCTCCAGTCCACGGCACAGCTCTCATCCTGGAACCTTCCCTCGCTGCTCTCTCAGTTTGGCTCTTCTATTTTCTGGATCCCAGTTCTTTCTCTTTCTTGGTTCTCTCCCTCATTTTACATCAACACATTTTCAAGAAAGTTTCAAAGAAAGAGACCAAGGGAGAAAACTTTTCTGAGGGCATGCACTCTTAAAATGCCCTTAGTTTACCCTCAACATGTGGTTGATAAATTGACCAGGCACAGAATTATAGATTGGAAATCCTTTTCTCTCAAGATTTTGAAAGCTTTGCTCTCGTCTCCAAGTGTTGCTGTTGGAAAAGTCAGATTCTTGTTTCTTCATATATGACCTGTTTTTTTTTTAATCATAGTGAATATTTATTATGTTCTTCCTTTGCGTCAAGCACTGTTCTGAGTATTCTGCACTGTTTATGCTCATGTCGTCATCTCCATGACATGGGGATTATTTTCTGCATTTGCAGGAGGAGACTGAGGCGTGGAGAGGTTAAGCAGCTTGGAAGTGGGAGAAGGCTGTTGACTGGGCACTTCACTAGTGGAGGATGGGGGATTGGCCATTTAACTGGGAACCCCACAAATCTGTCATCTGATCTCCTCTCTGGGGTTATACTCCTGCCTGTTACTATTCTTGAAACAAAGCAGAGGTCTAAGGGAATCCCACTGTTGACTATGCAGCCTTCCAGTTCACCCTCATTCTCAGCTAATGCCTCAAGCTTCCTGGTGTCCTCGAGTCCTGTGTCCTTCCCATTCAGTTTCTCCAGGAAACGTCCCTCTATTTTCCTACCTGGGGAGGACAGTTGCAAGAATGATGAAAGAATGTAGACATTTGCTCCCTCCATGTACAGACATTTAAATAATCCTTTGGTGTTAGCCTCAGCATCCTTTGGTACTTACAAGTCCAAACCTTTCATGGACCCTACAGGGCATACTGACTTCCTTTCTTGGGCATCCCTCTGGGCAAGTGTTCTAAGTTGTAGCTTGGCCAGCCCTGGTCCCTGAGTTAGCACTGTCCCCGCTGCTTACACTTTTTTTTATTATGAAATACAAATGTACAGGAAGTTATAGGAAATAACATAACCATGTATTTACCACCACCCAGCTTTATCAACTCTTAAATTATTTAAGCAACTATTTCAAAATGATCAGTAAAAATGCACCTTATAAATGGTTGATGCCTCCTGTGTATCCCTTCCTGGTCCCATTTCATTCCCTCCTTAGCAGTTATCAGTGTTCTAAATTGGTGTGTTTCATTGCCATGTGTGTTTTTATACTATTGCTGCAGATGTATGAATCTATAAGTAACATATTGTATTGTTTTTCATTTTTACAAACCTTAGTAGAATCATATGCTTTACATAGTCTTCTACTGCTGTTTTCATTCAAACTTATGCTTTTGAGGCATATTCTTATTGATTCATGGAGCTCTTTTTCATTCATTTAGCTTCTATATAGTGTTCAGTGTATGACCTAAGAGTTAAAGTAGCCATTCTTCTGTTAATAGACATTTTAGGTTATTTCCAATTTTTGACTTTTACAACAACAGTGCAAGGAATATTCTTGAGCATTTCTCTTAGTAGGCATGTGTGAGTTTCCCTGCAGAGCTTGCACAGGTAGACCAAGATATTGGTCCTCTCAGTCCCTGGGGTAGCCACATGGGACCTGGGGTCAGTCGAGCCCCTAGGCCAGCCTCCTGCAGCCATGAGCAGTTTTATCCTTTTATCCGTGTTATGGAAGGAAAAGAATCATTGTTCATGTGAGATTGTTGAATTAAGATGCACGACTCAAATTTGATACCTATTGCCAAATTGGTCTCCAGAGTAGTTGTGCCAGCTCACAGCCCTATTGCCGATGCAGAGTTCTTTTTACCAAACATTGTACTCTACGGGTGGAGAAGAAGTTGGGCTTGAGTATTAGACTATATGAGTTTGAGCCTGACTCCACCTACGAGCTGTGTGATCTTGGGCGGGTTTCTTACACTCTACATAAGCCTTGGTTTCCTCAGATGTCAAAGGGATAGTAATAATCCATGGCATGTTACAGAGATGTTTAAGAATTATACATGTGAGTTCATACACGTGAACCCCTTTGTACGCTGCGTGGCCCCATCACAGGCCATTTCAACAACAATATTTGCTATTATTATCATGTAAAAGTTGATTTTTGCCAGTCAAATGGGTATGAAATGGAGTTTAATGTGGTTGTAATTTGAATTCCCATATTATTACTCAGGTTGAGCATCTTTTCATATGAGCATCTTTTCCTTTTCTATTCTATTGGATTCTTTATTTTTCTTATGAACTGTAGGAGTTCTCTGGATAGTCTCTCTAAATATTCTGAATACTAATTCTTTGTCAATTATATGAAATGCAGAGATTTTTTTTCCAAGCCTGGGGCATGATTTTAAGTTTATGGTGTTTATTGAATCACAGGAATCTTTAATTTAATGTAGGTTATAAACTGTTCCTTTAAAATATTATGCACTTTATTTATGAAATCATTCCCTACATCAAGGTCATAAAGACATTTTCTTACATTTTCTTATAAAACTTTTCGAGGGGCCAGCCTGGTGGCATGGTAGTTAAGTTTGATGCGCTCTGCTTCGGTGGCCTGGGTTCACTGGTTTGGATCCTGGGAGCAGACCTACACCACTCATAAAGCCATGCTGTGGCAGTGTCCCACATACAAAATGGAGGAAGATTGGCACAGATGTTAGCTCAGGGCCAATCTTCCTCAAGCAAAAAGAGGAGGATTGGCAATGGATGTTAGCTCAGGGCCAATCATTATCACCAAAAAAAAACGTTTTAAGTATTGTTTTTTATACTTGAGTCTTTACCTGGAATTTGTTTTGGGGTATGAGGTAAGGATGCCATTTTCTTTCTTTCTATATGAGTAAGCATTTGTCTCCTGAGTAGGGGTTGGCACACGTTTTTCTGTAAAAGACCAGATAGTAAATATCTAAGGTTTTGTGGACTATATGGTCTCTGTCACAACTACATAGTCCTGTCATCAAAGCACCAAAACAGGTTCCTTAACCTCTCTGACTCCATTTCTCAATATGAACATCAGGGATAATAATGGTACCTACTCCATGAGAAGGTTGTGAGGAGTAAATAATAGATAAATAGACAGTAAGTCAACAAGTGGGTAGAGTTGTGTCCAAGAAAATATGTACAAAAAACAGGCAGCAGGTTGAATCTGGCCCACAGGCTGTAGTTTGCCAACCCTTGTTCCAGACGAATCTCCCAGTGAGCGCAGATGCTGTCCAGGGAATTAGTAGGTTATATATACCACATATGTGAGAAATGCATTATATAAATGTATTTATATAAATGTATTGCTAATGTATTGTTAATATATAAATATATATTATAATACATATATAATAGAGATTTATTTATTTACATTTCCTGCCAATCCCAGAGAAATTGCCTATCCTTATTCTCTTGCTTCTCCTGCACACATTACTCACTCACTTGGCAAATTTCTTCATTGAACAGCCATATACTCCGGTAATACAGAGTTTACTACGTAACTTGTCCCATTTATAGACCCCCCAAATTGTTTTCTAAAAAGCTCTTTGGGGAACTTTGATCCTTTAGCCTGAAACTCTCCCTCTGAAGTTGTGATAAACTAGCGTCTCCTGACGCAGTAGCCTTCGTCAGTTTACGTCCCCCATCCGTGCCCAGGACGAACGGTTCTTGTTCTTAAGGAGTCTCTCGGGTGACGCTGATTCGCGTGCATCTAGTCAGATATCCATCAAGTGTCTGCTTTGTAAGCCCATCCCTTGGCTAGCACTGAGGACGCAGGGTGAACAAGTTCCTAACACACTGCCTAGATGTGGCCCGACCCCTTCATGTTCAGCGGGCTGACTCTCTCTATCGGTCTGCACGTTATGCTTTTATTAATATATCCTGAGATCGTGCTGCCCTCTTACCTGTCTCTCCATCCCCCTAAACCAAGGCCCTTATTAACTGCCTCAAAGTAAGTATAGCAGACGTGAGGCCTTTGTGGGTTTGTTTTCTTCAAATAAGGAAATTGAGGCTCAGAATAGTAAGAAGCTTGCCATTTTAAAAGGCTCTTTAAAATATTTTAACTCTCTGTCTATGTCTACAGCTATACCGACAAGTCATTCTTCAATACACTTACCTTCTGGTTATTGTTCTCACCATTGCACTGAAGTTTTCCTTGACGAGCCACCAATGGCCTCATAATTAGTAAATAAATGGTCAGTTCTCCATCTTTATTTCACTCAATATACCTGCGGTAGAAGAATGTTAAATAATTCCTTATTTTACTTTTTATTTCCTTCAGATATCTTCTTCCTCCTTCACAGGTTTATCATACAGAAAAAGGTGAAACATAACAGTGGTTTGGCAACTGTACAATACTATTAAGTATAAGGATTATTGTGGTTATTGGGAGGCTAGAAGAAAATGAGAAGATATGCGTGAAAAGTTGAAGAAAAGTTTTATTGCAGAGATACATGGAATTTTTTCTTGTGGGAAGAAAATGTTTCTATCAGTTAAATATTTCTTCTTTTCGAGCATGGTTCTTGACTTAGATGCATGCTGTTCCTTTCAGAAAGCAATGGTTTAGGCTCATGGCCGTGTTTACCAGACCAGGAGTGTCCCAGCGACAGGAGTAAGCCCTGGTGTTCTCTCCTAGGTGTTCACCTTGCTGTGGATTGCTGACTGGATGGTCCATCACTTCTGGAGGAAAGGGAAGGACCCGGATAGCTTCTCCATCCCCTATCTCACAGCTCTGGGCGATCTGCTGGGGACAGCCCTGCTGGCCTTAAGTTTTCATTTTCTTTGGCTTATTGGAGATCGAGATGGAGATGTTGGAGACTAATCAATCCTACAAACTTCTCTCAAGTTGCCCAGGAGGAAAACACAAGACAACCACTTACGGCTCTTTTTCAAAAATCTTAATCAGTAGTGTGACTTCTGCCAGGGTAATCTTCAGTTGGCCCTGATTCAATTAAATGGCCTTAACATTTTTTTAAGGAATTTGTGTTGAAACCAGAATGAACAGTATTTGTGCTGCTTTTCATAGAATAAATAATAATTTGACATAGATATAGATATAAGCTCAAGCTCTGAAATTAACTACATAGGAAAGAATATAGGATGTTTACAATGAATAATTTTAAAACCACAGGTGTAGCATAAATGTACTTTACTATTGTTTAACTTATAATGCTAGGTTTAGAGGAAACAGTGTTGTAGTTTAGCCTTTCTTGTCTCACAGATGTGTTGTACTGCAAAGCATACTACAAAATGAAAGGGGCCCAACCAAGCTTTTAATAGCTTTGACTATGCCCACCTCTCTGCTAGCTGAGGATAAATTTACCAATTACTTCCTCCTAACCTGACCTAAATACATTCTGCTGAGCATAAGATAAACTCACTTTTACCTGCTTTTCCCACATGCCCATGCTAATTTAATTTCAACTCTGCAAGTTCTTGGCAGGCTACCCTTTAAACACAGAATGACCTTGAAAGATCTTTAATGGAACCAGTGGGCCATTTTTGATCATTGATTTGTTGAAAGAATGCTGATCTTTCTCAGAGGACCTAACAGTCAAAAACAGAAGAAATCTGAGCTGCATTTGCAGAGATAAGATAGTGTGAGAAATTGTGTGTGTATGTGTGTGTGTGTGTGTGTGTGTGTGTGTTTGAGAGACAGAGACAGAGAGAGAAGCTTTTGAGAACTTAATCTTGGATTGTTGATAGCAAAGCTCATAGTACTATTGGAATATTAGCAGTATATAGTTATTCTTAAACACATTTTATTGATATGATTTTGTCATTTGGTCTAAAAATTTTACTACTTACCCGAATTTGGTATTTGTTACCTACATTATAGTTAATAGTTTCTCCTTATTAAAAAATATATACCATTTAATATAACCAAGATATTATAGGATTTAGAATGAGTGAGTGACTCATTTGCTCTTCTGAAGAAGTCTGTTGAAACTTTTAGGCTCATCATTTTAAAAGAGAAGCTGGTGAATTCAATTATTGTTCATGCCTGTACTTATCATCTGTTTGCACAGGCTTATTTCTACATGGGACTCTGTCATATACACTACTGTGTTTCTCAAATATTTTTCTAAAACTCTGATCTATATTCCAAACACTTGACCAACACCTTAATTATTCAATAGGTAAGCATTTTTATATCACATGTAGTTCATTTTTAAAATGCAGTGGAATCTCTCAAGACTGTCAGATATTTAATAATTTAACTGATAAGGGAAGAAAAATCCACATCAACTTTGATCATCATGGTTAAAGTTGTGAGTTAGTGTTAACCTTATATAAATAGAAGATTGTTTATAAATATATTGGGGAAGTGTTCCTAGTAAGCTCTTTAAAATAAAGAGACTGGTTTAGAGTTATATATTTTTGCTTATTTTAAAACTTTAATTATTCCATTCTCCTGCCTTATAATGAAGTTTCTAAGGCAGAGAACTGAACTAATTATAGAATTTCTCCTTTGGAGAGTTATAATGTCACATAGTGAACATTCTTATAAAAGAAAGAATGATTAAGTTGATGAATATTTAGCTGCAAAGATTTTTTATTTTAAAAAATTCATAAATAACTTCTTTGATTTTACTGTAAAGTGTTTGTAAATTACTTGTTTACGTTTGGGCTGTATGATTCATTTATATTTTTCAGTGATTTCTATTTTGATTTTTTTAACATAAAAAAGCGCACAGCAAATCACATTTTTTAAGGCATTTACCAACAAGTTTAGTCTAGTGCATTACATGTTCTAAAGCACATTCAAACACACACTATTATTTAGCAGTCATAGCAGTACCTGTGAAAAGTCAGGTCGATATGCCCATCTCTCTGTTACAGCAGAAGAAACTGAAACTCAGAGAAGTTACATTTTTAAAGTTGCACAGCTGCAAAGTGACCAAATTGTGACTAAAGTCCAGGTCCCCGAACATTTAAGGCAGTACTCTTTCTATGACCCTCCAAATGTACCGAGAGTACCTGACTAATTGAGAGGAAATCGACCAGAGAAACAGGATTTCCTAAGTCCAATAGCGTATTGCTATGTCTTTTAGATTTCAGACAGGGAAAGCTCCATCTAATGCATCTTGATGATAAGTGTAGCCAACTCTCAATTATTGGTGTTCCTAACACTGAGGACAACACAGATAAATGAAAACTTTAGAATAAATAACAGCAATGCCTTATTTCATAGAACGTTTAATTGCCACCGCCTTTCCCAGATCTAGCCATTTCCACAGATGCTGATAAATAACCCGGATGGCTGACGAGTTCTGTCTCCTTTCTCTTTTGCTACCCAATCTTGGTTACAGCAACAAAAAGTCTAAAAGGCATGTAATAGGAAAAAAAATAAAGACATGGAAAAGTCAGTTACTGATAAGCTGAATTAATTTATAAAAGGGATTTAGATTCCTTTAAAAAAATTTTTGCTCGTTTTTTGAAAGCCTTACATACGTATGCAATCGATAAGATGACTTCTCTTATTTAGCCACAAAAATCATTTATTATCAGTCTTATATAATGTAAATTCAAAGTATTTATTTTTTTACAACATAAACTCCTGCTCTCCAAACTGCTTCCTTTCATTAATTTATCAGATACTTTGTTTATACACAGATAATCTTTTTAAAAACATATTTTTCATTCTTGCCTACCAACCATTTTTTTGTTTAAAAAATAAAGTTTCTTCAAACTTGATAAAATGGAACCTTATGGTAATGTATCTTCTGGGAGACATCAGAAATTCCACACTATAGACTATCAATGATGTAGCCAAATGAAGTACATTTTAAAAAATCTTTCAGTCATTGGGCTTCCTTGCCTTATAATGTATGTATGGCCTGGTATACCCATTTATAATGGGCATCTGCCATCTTTGAATTGTTGTAAACTCAAGAATAAAATTTAAGAAATATCTACCCAGTTTTGTTGTACTTCTTGATAAACTAGATGAACATGGAGGCAGTGTGGAACTCACCCAAAGCAGACTGGGGTGATCTGTGTATATATGTTGTGTTTATGAGAATAATAACCTGGGCTTTGACCTACCTAGACCTCCAATCCATTGCTGTACCACTCTTTCACTGTTGAGGTCTCTCCTCGTTTTTCAGCTTACATTCCTGGCCCCATCAGTCCATATATCCTCAACTGCCTCCTTCCTGCTTACTGGACAGCTCTGGTTAAACGCAGCTCTCACTATGCTTTGCCTGCACTTGAGCAGCTAAACACGGCTCGTGAAAAACACATGACTGCTCAGACAGATCTTTAAACTTCTGATCTCAGACATCGAGTTAACCCTTCACTGGCCAGCAGCCTACTGTACTTCTTGAATCACTTCACCCTCTGGGAGACCAGGCTTTTGTCCCACCACTCCACTGAAGTACACTTGTCAAGGTCACCAGCAGCCTCCATGTTACCAAATCGAGTGATGAGTCCTCAGTAAGATTTCTCATCTCTTTCAGTCTTTAAAAGTATGTGACAGGGAATATGTGCAAATCCTATATCTGATAAGGGGTTAATCTCCATAATATATAAAGAGCTCACACAAATGACCTAGAAAAAAACAAATAACTCAATCAAAAAGTGGGCAGAAGATATGAACAGACATTTTTCCAAAGAAGATATACAGATGGCCAATGGGCACATGAAAAGATGCTCAACATCACTAATCATCAGGGAAATGCAAATCAAAACTACACTTAGATACCACCTTACACCCATTAGAATGGCTATAATCACCAAGACAAAAAACAACAAATGTTGGAGAGGTTGTGAAGAAAAGGAAACCTTCATACACTGCTGGTGGGAATACACACTGGTGTAGCCACTATGGAAAACAGTATGGAGATTTCTCAAAAAATTAAAAATAGAAATATCATATGACCCAGCTATCTCACTACTGGGTATTTACCCAAAGAACTGGAAATCAACAATTCAAAGAGGCTTAGGCACCCCTATGTTCATTGCAGCATTATTCACGATAGCCAAGACGTGGAAGCAACCCAAGTGCCCATCGACAGATGAATGGATAAAGAAGATGTGGTATATATATATATACAATGGAATACTACTCAGCCGTAAGAAAGACAAAATCGTCCCATTTGCAACAACATGGATGAACCTTGAGGGCATCATGTTAAGCAAAATAAGCCAGACAGAGCAAGGAAAACACCATATGATTTCACTCATATATGGGATATAAACTTACAGACAAAGAGAATAAATTAGTGGTTACCGGGGAAGGGGGTGAAGGGGCATACTGACATGGTGTATGACAAACAATGATGTACAACTGAAATCTCCCTATGTTATAAGCTATTATGACCACAATAAAAAAAAAAAAAGGGCAAAGTAAAGGGCGTATAGGGAGAGAAGGTTAAAACATCCATGCAATTAGAGCATGAAGGAACTGGAGAGTTCTACAAGTTTGATGATGTTAGGAAACAGGAAACAAAATTTTGAGTGAGCGTGATGTAGAACTCAACCTTACTCACTATAAAATGAAAATATGAGGTATTTTCAAGTAAATTAAAACTAACGTCCTTTCCAGGTCTAAGTTCCAAATGATAGAGTTCATATAGACAACTAGTTTTAAAGTAGAAGGTGCTCATTAAAAACATGTTTCATCAAAAAAAAAAAAGTCTGTGACAGGGGCTGCCCAGGGGCACAGCAGTTAAGTTTGCACGCTCAGCTTTGGCAGCCCAGGGTTCACCGGTTCGGATGCTGGGCATGGACCTACGCGCCACTCATCAAGCCATGCTCTGGCAGGTGTCCCACATATAAAGTAGAGGAAGATGGGCACAGATGTTAGCTCAGGGCCAATCTTCCTCAAAAAAAAAAAATTATTTGAAATGCTTTCTTCACTTGGCTTCTCAAAAAGTCTGGCTTTTTTTTTAAAGATTTTATTTTTTTCCTTTTTCTCCCAAAAGCCCCCTGGTACATAGTTGTATATTCTTAGTTGTGGGTCTTTCTAGTTGTGGTATGTGGCATGCCGCCTCAGTGTGGTTCCATGGGCGGTTCCATGTCTGTACCCAGGATTCGAACCGACGAAACACTGGGCCGCCTGCAGTGGAGCGCGTGAGCTTAACAACTCGGCCACGGGGCTGGCCCCCCAAAAAGTCTGCCTTTTGCTTCCTTTTCTACATCACTGGAAGCCCCTTCTCTGTCTTGCTGGTTGCTCGTCCTCAATCTCTAAATTTTAGAATGCCTGACAGCTTAGTTTTTATTACGCCTTCTCTATCTACATTTCCTCCCTAGGTGACCTCACCCATCTCATTATTTTAAATGCCATCTATACTGATTATTTCCAAATTTATTTCTCCAGTCCAGGCCTCTCACCCACCTGCTGGGAAATGCCTGCTGGGAAACTCCATTTGAATGATTACGACGTATCTCAAGCATTTGAACAACACTATCAACCACTTCGACCTCATTGACACATATAGACCACTATACTATCCAACAACTACAGAATATACATTAAGGGCTAATCTCCTTAATATATAAAGAACTTCTATAAATCGGGAAGAAAAAGACCAACAACCCAATAGTAAAATAGCCAAAGACAGATGGTTCATAAAAAAATTCAAATAGGTGCCCAATATCACTCAAACTAAAAGAAATGCTAATTAAAATCACACTGAGATACCATTTTTCACCTATTCAATTGGCAAAAATTCAAAATCAGATAAAGCATTCTCTTGGCAAGGCTGTAGGAAAACAGACAAAATTGCTGGTTGTCAGTGATAAATTTGCCACAATGAAAGCTCTGTAGAGGGGAGTCTGACCGTATCTACCAGAATCACAGACGCACCTATCGTTTGATCCTGTAGTCCCGTTAGCACCATTAGACCCAGGCAAGGGAAGCCTCTGCCCTGGGCCCTGGGCCACGTGCAGTGGTTGGGAAACTGTGGCCAGCAGGCCAAGTCCAGCTCAGTGCTTGTTTTTGTAAATAAAGTTTTATTAGAACGCAACCATGCCCATTTGTTTACATATTGTCCGTCCTCTTTCCCTCCACAACAGGGGAAGTGCATAGCTCTGGAAGAGACTATAGAGCCGGCAAAGCTTAAAGAAATTGCTATCTGACCCATTACACACACAAAAGTTCACCCACCCCTGCTTTAGAGTGGATTCCTCAAATTTCATTTCTAAGTGTCCCTCAGGTACCCGGGACTAGCCAGGACCAGCAGTGCCACCTGGGCAGCGGCCTCAACCTGAAACTGGTCCTGTATGGGCTCCATTTGCAAGAAGCAACCACCTCGCAGTTTTGTAAGTTACCATCCAATGCCTGGGACTAGCCACACTGACAGGGGGCCCCAGTTCCTATTTCTCCCCTTCAGGGAGCACTCCTCATGTGGGATCAACCAGATGTCCCCAGGAAGTCAGACTCATGCCTACGGAGTAGTCCCCGGATTCTGCAGCCAGCCTCAATTCCAGGAAGGCAACGTGATCTGATCATCCTCACCGGCCAGAATGATAATGGGTTGCCAGAATTGTACTGACGTGTTGATTTGGGGTGACTCACATCAGACACAGGACAAATTCAGACCTCTGAGCACTGACAGTCCATCCACGCCTAACCCTTGGACTTGAGCCTCACATCTCTTTTGTCAGCATTCTAACTGTGGCATTGATTCTGGTCTAGAGCATCTGAGTGTGGCAGGGTGGTGACAGGCATCCATTACCCTGTGCGCCCCTTGCCACTTGCACCCAGCAAGGTCTCCACACCCTCCTGCAGGCTCTGTGCCACATGTCAGGCAGCCCTCTGGCTGTGGCCACTCCTTTCTACTCTGAAGGTCTTCAAGACCGCTGCTCCACAACTGACCCTTCCAATTGATGTCCTCTTCTGCCTTCAGTTGATGGGGTGATGGCATGCTCTCCCAGGTCAGTCTTAAGTTGCACTGGACAAGGAACAGCCATTCATCATGTGGATGGGACCATTCTTCTCACTCTGCTCCTGGGACCTGGCCTAGCCTCCCCTGGTGACAGTATGCGGTAGGCAGGGGTTGTTGAAAAAAAATATTCAATGACACTTGTTAAAGGTGGTAAGGTGGACTTTACTCAGGACCATGATGATAGGTATAGGGACCACTGCAATGGAATTTTGCTGTGGCAGAGAGACACGGGGCTCAACTCCGAATCCATCTTGGGCAAGTGGGAATTTATAGCCAAGCAGCAGGGTAGGCATCGGTGGATGGAAAATTACCATGAGGAGACGTCAGAGGTAAGGGTGATTCTGGCTAAACTGACTTAGAATTTCTTACTAAAGACAGACCAGGGTGGTCAGTCATGGCCTGGGAGATGGTGAAGGATGAGGAACCTAACCAGATATTGAGGGTGATTAGATATCGAGGGTGGGGGATTCTGGTTAAACTGATTTAGCAAGGTTCTTGCTAAAATAAGATTTTACAAGGAAGTACACGCATGGGCCTAGAAGAAGGTTCTGGAGCCTGACTAAAGCTTGAATCTTTGTCAGGGTGCAGTCAACACTGAAAGAAATCATGTCTAGAGATGCAGTAACCGCAGCCTAAAAGTTCAAGAGAAGACATGGTTGGAAAATGTGGTGTTCTACATTGACGCTATAAAATTCCAAATGGTGAATTTAACACGGTCAGAAAACAAACAATCGTTCGCATGTTCCTGCCTACTTCTGAGTAAGACTAGCATGGGTGGCTACCATCAACACAGCACAGTGATGACCTTTGAGAAAGCCACTGGAAGCCAACGGTCACTGGGGGCAAGATGGGTGGTGTAGCAACATGAGTAATGTTGTAAACAGCATGAAATAAATGGTATTGGGGAACTGCAGAGGCCAGAAAGTCTATACTGTTTCAATACAAATAGGTTCCAAAGAGCCAGAGCATTGCAAGTAATAACAGTTTTGCTCCTTCTATCTTAACAGTGGGAGAAGTCAGCCAGGGATG